GGCAGGAACGGTTGGAAGCAGGCAGGAACGGTTGGAAGCAGGCAGGAACGGTTGGAAGCAGGCAGGAACGGTTGGAAGCAGGCAGGAACGGTTGGAAGCAGGCAGGAACGGTTGGAAGCAGGCAGGAACGGTTGGAAGCAGGCAGGAACGGTTGGAAGCAGGCAGGAACGGTTGGAAGCAGGCAGGAAACGGTTGGAAGCAGGCAGGAACGGTTGGAAGCAGGCAGGAACGGTTGGAAGCAGGCAGGAACGGTTGGAAGCAGGCAGGAACGGTTGGAAGCAGGCAGGAACGGTTGGAAGCAGGCAGGAACGGTTGGAAGCAGGCAGGAACGGTTGGAAGCAGGCAGGAACGGTTGGAAGCAGGCAGGAACGGTTGGAAGCAGGCAGGAACGGTTGGAAGCAGGCAGGAACGGTTGGAAGCAGGCAGGAACGGTTGGAAGCAGGCAGGAACGGTTGGAAGCAGGCAGGAACGGTTGGAAGCAGGCAGGAACGGTTGGAAGCAGGCAGGAACGGTTGGAAGCAGGCAGGAACGGTTGGAAGCAGGCAGGAACGGTTGGAAGCAGGCAGGAACGGTTGGAAGCAGGCAGGAACGGTTGGAAGCAGGCAGGAACGGTTGGAAGCAGGCAGGAAGGTTGGAAGCAGGCAGGAACGGTTGGAAGCAGCAGGAACGTTGGAAGCAGGCAGGAACGGTTGGAAGCAGGCAGGAACGGTTGGAAGCAGGCAGGAACGGTTGGAAGCAGGCAGGAACGGTTGGAAGCAGGCAGGAACGGTTGGAAGCAGGCAGGAACGGTTGGAAGCAGGCAGGAACGGTTGGAAGCAGGCAGGAACGGTTGGAAGCAGGCAGGAACGGTTGGAAGCAGGCAGGAACGGTTGGAAGCAGGCAGGAACGGTTGGAAGCAGGCAGGAACGGTTGGAAGCAGGCAGGAACGGTTGGAAGCAGGCAGGAACGGTTGGAAGCAGGCAGGAACGGTTGGAAGCAGGCAGGAACGGTTGGAAGCAGGCAGGAACGGTTGGAAGCAGGCAGGAACGGTTGGAAGCAAGCAGGAACGGTTGGAAGCAAGCAGGAACGGTTGGAAGCAAGCAGGAACGGTTGGAAGCAAGCAGGAACGGTTGGAAGCAGCAGGAACGGTTGGAAGCAGGAACGGTTGGAAGCAGGAACGGTTGGAAGCAGCAGGAACGGTTGGAAGCAAGCAGGAACGGTTGGAAGCAAGCAGGACGGTTGGAAGCAAGCAGGAACGGTTGGAAGCAAGCAGGGACGGTTGGAAGCAAGCAGGGACGGTTGGAAGCAGGGACGGTTGGAAGCAGGGACGGTTGGAAGCAGGGACGGTTGGAAGCAGGGACGGTTGGAAGCAGGGACGGTTGGAAGCAGGGACGGTTGGAAGCAGGGACGGTTGGAAGCAGGGACGGTTGGAAGCAGGGACGGTTGGAAGCAGGGACGGTTGGAAGCAGGGACGGTTGGAAGCAGGGACGGTTGGAAGCAGGGACGGTTGGAAGCAGGGACGGTTGGAAGCAGGGACGGTTGGAAGCAGGGACGGTTGGAAGCAGGGACGGTTGGAAGCAGGGACGGTTGGAAGCAGGGACGGTTGGAAGCAGGGACGGTTGGAAGCAGGAATGGCTGACGCAAATACACACATGCCCCTCCGTGCTTGTGACGCTCCCCACTCCCAACCCCTCTGACTTGTGCACACGCTCACCTGCTGTGCCTGCTCGTCGCCTGGCCACTGCTCTGTGCGAAGTCTCTGTTATGGGCGTATCAGTGTTGGAGAAGGGGCGGGAGGGGAGGTTCAAGAATTGTTCGTCATCCGAGGGAAAGAGAAAGGAAGAGAAGACAAGATGGGAATGAAAGGCAAGATAAACGACGGCGGTGAGAGGTGAGACAAAAACAGATGGCAACAAAGCCACAAAGGAATGCGAGTGAAGAGAGGAGATACCTTGTTGCCTTCAGGTCTGCCTTCCATTGTGCCTTCAGTTGTGCCTTCAGGTTCGCCTTCACGTCTGCCTGGCCGTTTGGTCGAGCAGAGTGCAAGTTCAGCAGGCGGCCACTGCAGCCGCCCTGCAGGCGGGCAGCTGCGCTGGGAGAGAGGAACTTCATCAAGTGGGGCGGCACAGTGACCGTCACGGTCTTCGGCTTGTAGCTCTGCGGTCCCCCGAAGCTCTCCCAATCCGTGGAGGGAGCTCGCCCGCTGCGCTCCATCAGGAAAAAGATGCCTGCCGGCATGCGGGTGATGTGGGGAGGGGATGGGGGTGAAGGGGATGGGGGTGAAGGGGATGGGGGGGAAGGGGATGGGGTGAAGGGGATGGGGGTGAAGGGGATGGGGGGGAAGGGAATGGTGGGGAGGGGCATTAAAGGGTGGCCCAGATGGGTATGGGGGTGTAGAGTAGGGTGAGCATTGGGGGGGTGGCATGGGCGTGGAGGGTGGGCGTGGGAGCCGTCGAGACGACAGCCAACCTTACCACGTCGCACCCACCCACCCACCCTGACACACGCTCATCGTGCGCGTGCTTTACGGGCGGTGCGCCTACCCAACACCCCCCCGGCTCACCCAACACCCCCCCGGCTCACCGCGCTTCTCCCAAGACTCGTGGAGGGACGGCATGGTACAGCGGACGTCCAAGCCGAGCACGCTCTCTGCTCCCTGCGGGTGGGAGTCGCGCCAGTCGCACATGGCGTTGGCGGCGAACAGGCACGACGCGATGGCGTTGCACACTTGCTTCTCACGAGCTTTGGGCGGGCTGACAGTATCTGTAGAAGCCTCATGAATTAGGCGCAGGAGGCGAGTAGAAAGATTTTCAACGACACCACCTTCGGCTGCTGGTGCTGATGGTGGTGATGCTGCTACTGCTGCTGGTGCCGCTGCTGCTTCCGCAGACACTGCTGCTGCTACTGGTGGTTCTGCTGCTTGTTGGTTAATATTGGAAGAGTCGAAAAAGACAAGCAGCGAATCTAGCTCCTCGCATCCGACGTCTCCACCGTGTGCTGCTGCGGCTGCATTTAACGCGTTACAAGCTACCACAGGATCAGAATCAAGATCTGATGCGCCCTCAACATCCCAACCAGCGACGGGATGAAGCTGCCAACTGCCGCCAGACTGCGGGCATTCGCGCAAGTCATCCAGCCCACCATGACCAGGATAGGGACGGTAGCTTGGATACAAAGCCATTCTCAACAACAAGAAAGCGCACTGCTTGTCTCCGTCGAGGCAAAGCACTGGCTATTGTGACGCAGCGATGGTGGAACACCAAGCCCTGGCTATTATGCTCGGGGGAAACACCACGCGGTGACAGATTGTTTAAAGATGGCTGTTCCCGGCCCGGGCCTCCACGCGACCATCGTGTATGGCCGCTCAGGAGCGACGTCCCCGCTGCGCTACGGTACCGCACCGCACACAGGAACGTCCCGTCCGCGCGCAAATCTTCATTCTAGGCCAATCTCAGCTCAGGCGGCCGAGCGGCGCCGCGGGATGCGCGCATGCAGGCGACGCGACGCCATGCTCGCCGCCGAAATTCCGGCGAAGGAAGACTGCGCGCGGGACGATGGGATGCAGCGCATTATGCGCATGATGCGGATGATCGGCATGATAGCACCCTGCGATGCGACGTGGCTGATGCGTCTCCATGTGCGCCGCAATTCGAGGGTTTCACACGAGTTGCACCTCATGATCGTCACGAGGAGGTACGAGAGAAGGACAGGCGCGAAGGAGATAAAGTCTCTGCATTCCGATTGACCTACATGCCATGCAGCAGCCCATGAGGAGCAGTGTGGGGACCGTATGCGGGTTGCTCGATGAGGTGGGAGGGAGGGGCAAGGTTGCCTTGAAAGGGTTGCACATTGTAAGCAGAAGAACCGATAAGCGCAACGGGTTCAACGTGATACACCCGGAATAGTATTCGAAACAATGATTGATAAACCTGACAAACGCATTGCGAGCAAGGTAACAGACTACGGCATAACCCCTCAACCCCTATGTGCCTGCCTAGTCAAGTCATGATCCCAGTCAGTTCCACGTAGCCTCTCCACCAGAGGGGGTCTCAGGCTGACGTATGTCGAGGAATCGCTTCTAAATCGGCTCGCTATAGGCCGCTCGCGCCCATGAGTAGCATGGAGTGCAACGCGTCTCGCGCTTGGACTCATTCGTGTGGTGGGCGCTGGCCGCTGTGATGCGCGGATCTGAAAGGATTCGCCGGATCGCGACTCACTGCGCTTACGCGTCCACGTCAGCAGTGCGGCATTGGATCGGGCTTGGTAATCCGCTCTGTCCGCGCGAGCCATGTGGCGGAAGTGTCAGCACGGCGTCTCTGCGCGCTTATAGACTGCTCCGTAATAGTAGCTGCTCGATAAGAGCACTTCCGGGTTGTGCAAGCCCCGTTGCTCCGTGGTGGCGAGCGAAGCAGCCCAGGGACGGAGTGAAACTTATTGGTCTGGCATCCACGGTAGCAGAAAGTGGACCAGCATCAGCGTCGGCATCAGCATCGGCATTAGCATTACCTCTAACGTTGCCATTACCGGCACCTCGATCATCAGCAATGCATGTAGGGGAAATGAGAAGGCACTGCTTGTGGGACGACATGGGAGGGAGAGGCGGCAGGGTAGAGCAGGTGTGGCGCGTGAGAGGAATAAATTCGCAGTCGTGGCCTGTGCACGAAGCGGCGTTAATAGTAGCGAGTACGAGGTGGAGAGTGGCGACGTGGAGGGCGATGTGCCACGTGGCAGAAAAACGCGGTTTCGTTTATCGAGACGAGGGGAAGGGAAAAAGAAGAAAGGAGGGGAAGGGGAATAAAAGAGAGAAGGGGAAGGGGAAAAGAGGAGAGGAGGGGAAGGGGAAGAATGGAAATGAGGGAAAGGGGAAAAGAGAAGGCGAGGGGAAGGGGAGAAGAGGAGATGCGGAGAAGGGGAACGAAGCAGATGAAAGGAAGGGGGGTGATGGGCAGGAGCAGGCGGGTGGTGCGGGCGATGGGAGGAAGGGGAGTGCAGGTGTAGTGGGTGCGGAAGCCGAGGGCGCTGATGGGACGAGGCTGCACAGCCGGCGGAGGAGGAGGGGGAGGCCACGGAAAGTTGTCTTTGAGCGTGGTGCTGCTGTCCCGTCTGCCGGTGGTGGCAATGAAGCGGACGGGCAGGGTGGTGGCAGCGATGGGAGTGTTGTCTGGAGCGATGGCGGTGTGAGGGAGCAGCAGCAGGAGGAAGCGGGCGGCGCAGTGGAATGGGAGAAGCTCCATGATGGCATCAGCAGTGTACCTTCTCATGATGATAACGCTGCCCTCCACACCTTCTCCTCCACCCACACGCCCATTCCCTCCCCCGTACCCACTCCCGCCTCCTCGCCCCCGCCGTCGCTGCACGTGCAGTTCCAAGACTTCTACTCCACGCATCTTGCTGACATCGCGCCGCCCTTCGCCTCGCAGCGTGCCACGAGGGACAACGCCATGGCGCTGCTCGCCCTGCACCCCCCGCCTCACACCCTCGCTGCCATCTTCCGAGCTTGTTCGTCTCTCTTCCTCGTGCCGCTCACCCACCGCATCCGGGCAGCTCTTGAGATCTTTTCTGCCCACGGGCTGCCCGAGTCGCTGTTTCTGAGTGTCATCCGGCGGGTGCCCGAGCTGATTCTGGATGCCCGGCTGGATGACGTCAGCAGCAATGGCAGCAACAGCAGCAGCCAAACCAGCAGCAACAAGAGCAGCGACACCCACGAAAAGGAGCAAACAAGCAATTCTCACTCAGAGCACCAGCAGCAGCAAGACGCCCATGCGCCTCTCTCTGACTCCCACAACTCACCAACCAGCCTTCCTCCCTCGCACCTCCCCTCCACCGACCTCCCCCACCTACAGCAGGTGTTGCACTTCCTCTTCCTGCATCTCCCTCCCCCCACTGTCGCCAAGCTGCTGCACTCGGCTGCCTGCCGTGTCTTCCGCACGCCCCTGCCCTCGCTCCTCCTGCACCTCTCAGCAATGCACTCCATGCTCGCCCCCCCTCACTCCCTCCTCTTCCGCTACCCCCTCGCCCTCCGCTTTTCTCCTGAGATCCTCAAAGAGAGGCTTTCGCGATTGGCTGAAATTGTGCCGCTGACAGAAGCGCAAGAGGGGGTGGGAGGTGAAAATGGAAGTGGAGGAGGGGATGGAGAGGGGAGAGCGAGAAGAAAGATAAGACTTGACTCTGTCTCTCTTCTCCCAATCCCTCCTCTCGATCCTTCTCTTTCATTCTCGGCGGATCCAGCAGTTCTCTCCCTTGTGCAAAGGCAACCACACATCCTCCATGCCAGTAAGGTAACCATGCAGGAGGTGGTAACCACACTCACCACCCTCTTCGGCCCACAAGGCACGTCCTACGTGCTCTCCCGCCACCCAGCCCTGCTCACCGTCTCCCCTCGCACAATAGAAGAAGCCATGTTCGGACTTATCGACATTTTCGGCGAGGAAGTTACCCTAGATATGATTCAGCGCGAGCCGGGGATCATACAGGTGCGGCACAGCACACTCCGGCCGAAGATTGAGTTTGTTCTCGGGGAGATGACGCGCAGCAAGGACGACATCCGGGTGTGGCCGAACGTGTTGCTGCGCAGCCTGCCACGCATGCTGGTGCCGCGGTACTTCCTGGTCACGCGGAAGGACCGCCACGCCGCCAGAGTGCTGTCTCTGCCGTGCCTCTTCAGCAGCTCTGATGCTCGGTTCAGGCGGAGATGGGAGGTCAGTGATGCGGACTGGAGGAAGGCACTCATGGTGGGAGAAGTGTGGGAAGCAAGGCGGAAGGAGCAGGGTAGGGTGGCTAGTGCAAATCAGTGATCCAGGGTTACGGTTCAAGGTAGGGGCATGTATCTGGAGGAATATAGTGGTGTGGTATATGAAGCATTATTGTAACAAATTAGGCATAATATATTACGGGCAAACTGTAGTGCAGTTTCCAGCGTTTTAATATTATCAGCCCTCTCAAAAAAAAAACCTGAGACTTTTACCAACCCAATGGCCATATAGCCAGAAAGCCCAGGGTACACCCTGTTTGCCCAGAGTCACCATAAGCCAAGCTCGAGCCCTGCTATGCTACCCGGCGGTCTTCAACTGCAACGAACGCTCCTTTCTCTGGGGTATTACGACACTCCGTTCCCTCTTCACTATTTGCACCGCCCTTGCCAGGAGGTCATCAGGGAGCACCCCTGGCGAGGGGTTGGTCTCCACCTGCTGGGGGTCTATCCCCTGCTGCGCCAGCCACTCCACTGCCTTCCACTTGCCCTGCCTCGCTGCGTTGTGCAGCGGGGTCCCTGGGGGAGCGGTGCAAGGGGGGAGCGGTGCAAGGGGGGAGCGGTGCAAGGGGGGAGCGGGGAGGGAGATGGTGGGGGACAGCAATGGAGGGACGGGAGGGGGTTTGGATAATAGGTAAGAAGTAGCTGTATGGTGCACGATAGTGCGGAGAGGAAGACGGTAAAGGATCAACAATGGGTGCTCCTCTGTACACTCACAGCATTCTTTTGTGCAAGCAAGGATGTCGGCTCCGTAGCGTTTCAACAGTTCCATGCACGCCACGTGTCCCCCCCCACGCTGCTCGGTGCATGGGTGTGCTGCGGTTGTTGCAGCGCACGCTAACAGGCATACCCAACCCCAATAGCGCCTGCACCTGCAGTGGCATATGAAAGGGAGAGAGGGGGGGTTGGTGGTGGAGAGGGAGAGTGATTGCAATGGCAACCACAGCTGGCGATGTGTGGTGTGGGTGGCCAGGGGTTTGCTAAGTGAAAGGAAGGTGGGCGAGTGATAAAGGTTGCAACAGTGTGATGCTGGCAAACGCATCATGCGTTAACACATGCGTCATAGAGGTGCGATGCAGGTCGCCGCATGCAGGAAGAGAGGGAGCACACGGGCAGAGCATAGGCGCAAAGGACGGTGTGGGGAAGCATAAAAAAAGGTTGTGAAAAACAGAGAGAGGCGGAGAGGACGGGGGAGGGAATGTCGGACAAAAGACAGGCGAAAAGAGAGGAGGAAGGAAGATGAAGGATATGTCAAGAGAGGCAAAGGACCCACCACAAGTTCATCCCCGTCGCGAGCAGCAACGTGCAGCACAGTCCTTCCATACTCATCCACAATGCTGTCCAAATGCTTTGCATCAACATCAACTCCCCATTTCTTCAACATGCCATTCAGCTCCTCCACATCCTCATCTGACAGACCACGCGCATCGCATCTGTATTGGCAAATCCGAGCAGACTTGCATCCGACAGACCAGGCGCATCTGTATTGGCCAATTCTTGCACACTTGCATTCGACAGACCTTCTGAGTTCTTGCTCGCCTCTTTCACCACATTTGTTAACACTCTCTGGGACACAAACGATATAATTTCCCTGATACGCGATATCTCGACAGGCTTTAAGGAGGGGGTTCTGGTGAAGAGACGTGAGGGCAGGCGGTGAGGCGAGGCGAGAACAGGAGTGATGTCAAGTGCAACAAGTGCAGCATTGGGAGATACAGGGACGACAGCAGAACAGGAGGGAGGAGGTGGAGTGGAAGGGGCAAGGGCAGGTGCAGTGGCAGGGGCAGCAGGAGGGCGGTGGTGGGGTGGCGGCAGCTTTGAGTCGGGGACGTAGACAAGGGTGAGTGGCTGAAGGCGAACGGATGATGATGCTGCTTGTGGCAGTGTGGATCGGCGGCACAGTGGCAGGGGCTCGCAGAGGTAATACTCCCATGCACTGAGGACGGGCAGCTGACAGGGCGAGCAATGCATGGCGTGAGATGGATAGGGACACACAAGACGGGTTGACAAGTCAGAGAACAGGTTATTGAGAGAAGGAAATTGAAGGTGGTAAATTGACAGGGGACAAGGAGGGCGAAGAAGACAGGAAGGGTGAGACGAGAGACGAGATGAGGGAGACGGGTTAGAATGCAGCGGCGACAACAAGGGAGGGAGGGGAGGGAGGGCAGAGCGAGGAGTGCACCTTGGTGCCTTGAAACTTGGTTTGCGTGGAGTGGTAGTCGAGCAGGGTGGCACAGGAGCCATGCCGCAGGCTGGCAGCGGCGCTGGCGGAGAGCCACGGCAGCAGGTGGGGCGACACAGCCACCGTCACGCTCCGTGCCCCGAGCCTCTTCACCACACCGAAGCTCTCCCAGTCAGTGGAGGAGGGGGCTAGCCCGTTGCTGCGCTCCATCAGAAAGAATTTTCCTGCCGGCATGGAGTGGGGCGGGTGGTGCGCATGGGATGGAGGGATGGGGGAAAAGGTGGTGGGGGGGAAGCGGGTGGGTGGAAAGGGGGTAGGAGGGGAGGGCATACGGGGATGAGCATGGGGCATGGGCAGGGGGTGGCACGAGCGTATGGAGGCGAGGGAGTGGCATAGCTGCTGCCGAGCGACAGCTGCGCTGAGCTCACGTTGGCATGGCGCAGCTGAAACAACAGCCAGCCTTACCATGTCGCACCCACTCACCTGCATCACCCACCCACCCTCACACACGCTCACTCACCCCCATCACGCCCGTGCACCTGCTGCATGCCTGTGCGCCTGCCCACCCCTCTTCATCCACCCCCCTGCTCGCCACACCCTCCTCGCCCCCCACCCCCCCTTCCCGCTCACCCACCCGCTGGCTCACCGCGCATCTCGAGAGTCTCCGCGGCGGACGGCATGGCGCGGAGGACGCGGAAGCCGAACGCCCTTTGTGGCCTGTGCACCAGAAGCACATGGCGTTGGCGGCGAACAGAGTCGACGCGATGGCGTCGAGCCGCTGCTGCTCTGTTGTCGCCTCGCGAACGTCGCGCGAAAGGCGAGCGAAAAGATCGTCGACGCCATCGTCACCTGCTGCTGATGATGCTGCTACTGGTGCTTCATGGGACTCGTTTTTAAGTGCCTCGGTACTGTGATCATGCGCTGCTGCGTCGTCAACACCAAGACTCGCGAATTTGCGATGCAGGTCGGCCATCGGCGCGCATTTGACGTCGTCTCCGTGCCGCAACAATGTCGCGAACGGAACGAGAGACTAGCTCCTTCGGACTCGCCGCGATTCTCGACGACAAAACGCACTGCTGCTATTCTTCGTCGGGCGCTACTCGCTGGCTGAATGGAAGTGAATGGCTGCGACGCACCGACGGTGAGGCTCGTCCGAATTGCTGGAGAGAAACGGCGAGAGGTGACGGTGTGTTATGCTGGTCATTCCTGGGCGCCGCGCGACCATCGGCTGGCGTGTATGGTCGGTCACCACTTCCCGCTGCGCCTAAGGTGCACCGCCTCACACAGGGACGCACGGACCCACTGCAGTTTCGAGCCTTGACCAGCTTGTGCTGGTGCGAATTCTTATGCTTGAGGTATCTTGGCAACATAGTCCAGTTCGCCAAGGCCCTAGTGCTTGGAGCTAGTGCTAGGGCGTGAGGGTGTGGGTGCCCTGCCCACATAGGGGTTGTGACACACGATCACAAATGATAAGCGACATCCCTCCAGTCTGTTACGCGGTTGGCTGGTTTTGCTAAGGGCGGGTCCAACTTTCCACACTCCCGTTTTTTTCGTTATATTTACGTCAACACACTTGTCAATTTTGACTGTACCCCACGGTGTACTCCTAGCGTTTCCTATCCAGTTCGGAGTGTACAGTGCGGACTTTTGACGAGGTACATTAACGTTGCGAGGTACAGTACCTGGGAAGGAGAGTTACCTTATGTTGCGAGGGTTTCCGCATCATGGGCTGCTACGATCAGAGAATGATCGCTGCCAGGATCTACTCAGGAAGGTTCGCACACAGAGAATTTTAGTTGGTGGGCTCGTGACCTCAATAGCAGAGTGAATGTAAAATGCTTGAGATGATTAAAACATGCAAATACAGCAAGTATAAATATGAGTACAGGGAAGACGAAACGACCTAACTAGCCATGTACTCTAAGGGGTACATTCCCTTATTCAAATACATTCCCAACCGTGCGGCGCGTACAGTTTCGTAACTGTTCCCGCCAAAACATCCTGCCTGCAGCTGTCCGATGCCGTATGCTTGCGACGGTCCAGATGCGACCCAACTGTCTGACACTTCGAGTCAAACTCCAACTGTCTGACGGTTCGCTTTCTTGCTTCGATACTGCGTGCTTCTCTTTGCTGCGGTGAGGAGTGCTCAGTAACAATTAAATGTTACTATTCGTAACACCCCCCTTCACTCCTGGCCGTAGCTCGATTTGACCTGCTTGACCACGCCGCTGAGTTCGGAGCAGTGCTGATACTGCTGGCGTGGCAGTCGCTTCGTGAGGAAGTCTGCTGCCATGTCACCGGTCGGGCAATAGGTCAAGTTGACCTTGCCCTTGTCCACTTCGTCCTTCACGAAGAAATATCGCAGCGCAATGTGCTTGGTGCGATTGACGAAACCAGGTTTGTTCGCGATGCGAATCGCGCTCTGGTTGTCGCAGTGAAGTCGAAAGGTTGGCGAAGCTGGAATTTTCGCCTCCTGCAGGAGTTCCTGTAGGTAGAGGCCTTCGCGAACTGCTGCGGTTGCTGCGATGAATTCTGCTTCGGCTGACGACAGGGCAACCAGCTCCTGCTTCTGTGAATTCCAGGAGATTGGCCCCGTTGGTTCGAGTCGGAACAGGAAGCCGGTCCTGGACCGTCGATTGTCGGGATCTGCTGCATGATCGGCATCCACATAGCCGACGAGATTGAAGGATGGGGTTGGTGCAGTTGAGTAGCACAGCCCGATCTTGGGCGTTGAAACGAAAAATTGCAAAGCGCGCTGCAGGTCCAGGTGATTTTCAGCCATTAGTTACCGTGAGTGCTGGGCGAGCTGACTTGCGATGTAGGAGAGGTCTGGCCTGCAGGTGACAGAGGCGAAGAGAAGGCATCCCAGCTGCTGCTGGTAAGTCTGAATTCCAGCAGGGGATAGGGCTTTGTTGTCAGGTTTGTGGTTCGGTCCGGGGGTTCGATAGGGAGTCGAGAGAGGTGCGGGTGAAATCTTGAACCGCTTCCCTAACTCCTCTGCGTACTTAGCTGCTGACAGATGAATGGCTTCAGGCGCGTAGGAGATGTTGAGGCCTAGGAACTGCTTCACCTCGTGGTTGCATGTGATGTCGACGCGCCCCGCCAAAGCCTTCTCGAACTGTTCGAGCAGCTCGTTGTTTGAGCCCGTGTAGAGCAAGTCGTCGACGTAGACCGTGAGGAGGATGTATTCCCCGCGGAAATCGCGGCGGTACATCCCTAGGTCGTGGGGCATCTGCTTGAACCCGATTTCAAGCAGGATGTTGTGCAAGTACTGCTGCCACAGTCTTGGAGCCTGCTTGATGCCGTACAGTGACTTGCGCAGCTGACATACGCGCGAGTCACCTTCGCCATAGGTGTGTGGCTGCTCCACGTAAATCACAGCGTCCACTAACGCGTATAGGAACGCGTTTTTAACATCGATCTGGCGGAGTGGCAGGTGCCTTGCAGCTGCGATAGCGAGCAAGATGCGGACGGAGGTGTGGCGACTGACGGGGGCGAATGTCTGGTCGAAATCGATCCCATGCCTCTGGTCATAGCCGCGAACCACCCAGCGTGCTTTAAAGCGCTCAATCGTTCCGTCAGCTGCGGTCTTCACGCGGAAGACCCACTTTCCCGAAAGGATTCTTGCACCTTTGATTGCTGCGCGGTCAACGAGCACCCAGGTGTCGCGTGACTCCAGTGCCTTGATTTCCGCGTCCATTGCCTCACGCCATTCCTTGCTGTGTGGTCCAGAGAGGGCTTCGCGCGGGTTTCGGGGCTCGATGACGCGCGGCGCTTTCGAGGTTGCGGTGTGAAGTCCGAGCAGTTGTAGTCCTGAGACGGTACTGTCGTGGTGACGCTGCGGGACGACTTCCTGCACGTCATCATCGTCGCTCTCAGGTTCAGGTGGTGCTGATGGTGTTGCGCCTCCGCCGCTTCCGCCCGTTCCGCCTATTCCTCCTCCTGAGGAATCATCGTCGTTGTCGCTGCTGCGCCGATCTTCCCAAGTGAATTCGGCCCTGGTGTCCTGCTCTAGAAGTGCTGCAGCGGCTTCGTCTTCGGGCGTTGCGTAGCTGTGGCCGTTGTTCGCGTAAACGCGATCTGCATTCCTCTGCTCGTCGTCGCGGAACTGGTCGAGGAAGAGGCGCTCGTAGAAGATTACGTCGCGAGCGTGGGCGGTTTTCTGACTGAGGAGGTCCAGTACGATCCATGCTTTGTACTCGTGACTGATGCCGAGGTGAATTCCCCAGCGCGCGCGACTGGCGAATTTGCCGATGGTTGATGTTGGCGGGCGGTACTGCACCATGCACCCCCACACGCGGAGCATGGAGGTATCCCCCTTGGTCCCGGTCCATTTGACGTGCGGGGAGAGATTCCCGGTGATCGCGGTGGTTGAAAGCAGGTTGTGCACCCGCACGGCTAGGTGCATCGCGTAAGTCCAGTAGATCGGCGGCAGCTTCGACTGCTTCATCAGCGCCCGCACCTTCGTCATCAGTGTGCGATTCGTTCGCTCAGCTACGCCCTGCTGCTGGTGTGCGTAGGGGAGAGAGATGTGATGCTCGATCCCCTTTTGCGCCAGGTAAGTCTGCATCTGGTTGCTCCTGAACTCTGCTGCGCCGTCAGATTGCCAGATCTTTAGCTTCTTTCCAGATTGCCGCTCCGCATGCGCTAGCCAGAGCCGAAACACCTCGTAGGCTCTGTCGCGCGTCTCCACGTTCACGACCCACACGTAGCGTGTTCCAGCGTCAATGAAGGTAAGAGTGTATAGCTCGTCCTCGACTCCGCAATGCCCTACGTTCAGGAAATCGCTGTACACCTTGTGCAGTTTGGGGTAGCGGTTCGTCCCAGGTTCGAGCAGCGGGAACGGTTGGTGGCTCAGCGCAGCTTCGGGGCAGACTGTGCAGTTGCGCGGATGCGTTGCGCCTCTCACTTCGGAGCCATCAGGGCGCAGGAGTGCGCCAGGAGCGAAGTGTCAAACATTATATATGTTGGGTTTGTTAGGCTATAGTGGGTTAGCCTATATGGGGTACACAATTCTAGGGTTTGCTATTTGTACTGATTTCTCTGTTAGTTCAATCATTCCAGTCTCTTCTTCTGACATGGTTTCAGAGCAGGTCCTTCGCTAGGACCGTTCTTAGGGCCCACCACTGAATACCTACCTACCTATCTACTGTCGGAGTGCTGCGTTAGCGCCTCCCCCTCTCAGCGCCCTAGTGCGCCCTCGTGTACGGCCCCTTAAGGCTTCGTTGACCCCGCGCGCCGCCCCTTAGTGACCCGCGCGTCGCTCCTTAGAGGCCCCGTCGACCCGCGCGCGCCCCGCTTAAGGCCCCGTTTGGCCCCGTCGACCCGCCCGCGGCCCGCTTAGTGGCCCCGTTTAGCCCCGTCGACCCGCGCGCGCCCCGCTTACGGCCCCGTTTGGCCCCGTCGACCCGCGCGCGCCCCGCTTACGGCCCCGTTTGGCCCCGTCGACCCGCACGCGCCCCGCTTACGGCCCCGCTTGACCCGTCGACCCCGCGCGCGCCCCGCTTAGAGGCCCCGTTTGGCCCCGTCGACCTGTGCGCGCCCCGCTTACGGCCCCGTTTGGCCCCGTCGACCCGCGCGCGCCCCGCTTACGGCCCCGCTTGACCCGTCGACCCCGCGCGCGCCCCGCTTAGAGGCCCCGTCGACCCTATCCGCCGCCCCTACCCGCACCGCACGCGACAGCCGCGGCCCCGCCAGCAACAGGCCGCCCGAACCGAGCCGCCCAGTCCGAGCCGAGCCGAGCAGCCAGAACCGAGCCGCGCCGCCCGCACTGAGCAACTTCTCTGGACCGAGCCGTGTCAAAATCACTAGGCAAGAAATGATTGAACTAGCAGAAGTTTGGGTACAAATGTGAAACCCTAGTTGGGGTTGTACCCCATATTGGCTACCCCACTACAGCCTACAAGCATAATACAGTT